CTAAACCCCATTTTTCACGGGCTTTCATTTGGTATAAAATTCATCATGTCTTCTATTCGGGATTACATCGTTACCCCCCTGGAATAATATTCTTTCCGACCCTGTACAAGTACAAGTACAAGTATTTTCTGGCAAGTACAAGTACAAGTACAGGTATATCCATGCACGTACAAGTACTTGTACGTGTACTTTGTGTATGTGTACTTGTCCTACCTCTGTGAAGTTCAAAATATTTTTCGTTGTCAATAAGATATTTTTTATTAAATAATAATTTCAATGTTGTTTTGTCTTTTTCTGTAAATAAAGTTTTTACCTATACAACAACCTGACATTGATTCATTATAATTTTTTTTTATTTGTTCATTGACTTTCCCGAAAATACTAATCAATTAATTAATCTATTTGTCTATGCAAATAAAAATGATTTGAATAATTTGTATGTTCCAATTGATCATCTTAACAAAAAGCAAATCTGCTTAAAGACTAGAATATTAAGTAAAAATTATTAAAATTACTTTCTGATATGATAAAATCAAGGATTGACGAAACAAATTTTTGTACTTTTGACTTTTGTTTCAAAAATTGTTTCGATTATTCGTTATTAATTAAATTTTTAATAGAGATGACATGGTGAATAAAGATTTAAACTGTAATAAAGGTGAAAAGTGGAATAAATAAGATTATTTCTTTTCTTAATTCTTCCGACATAGAATATAAACTATAAATATATTATTTTCATTTAATAAATTTTTTTTTAATTTTGATAATTATCAGATGAAATAATAAAATCATATAGAAACTTTGCATTTTCTTTTTGGAGAGTTATATGTACTACAAAAAAAAGTATATGAGAGAAAAAGATGACTTGTTTTGGAATATCTGATTATCAAAAGTATCATAAGCACGATTTTTATTGACTTGTTTTTTAAATGAATTTAGTGTTTGAATTTATCCGCTAATAGTAATACAAAGTTCAGTTAAAAAGAAATTTATAATGCTAAAGATTGATTCTAAATCAGACAAAATATGCTTGTATAAATAACTCAACATATTTCACGACTTCAATGAGTTTAAAACTTATTTTGATGAAAAAAAAAACAAATTTAGCCTAGAACCCAGATGGTTTTGATTCAAAAACGATTCTCTCATTAGTTAAATGCATTCGAACAATGTACTGCTAATTCTTTTTGTAATTTGAACGTTAAAATATTTAATAGAAATTAATTATGAACACATCATCAATACATTAAATTGAAATTTTACTTCAATTATTTCAAATCAGAAAAGAGATAGTCATCATATATGGTTACATGGACGTGTAAATTCGAGCTGCACTTATTTCATAATTATTAAGCTATTTGAAGAAACCCTTGAACACAGTGAAAATTAGTCATAGCAGCTTGACTCATCTTTACTCTCGCCTTCAAAAATTAAGCGACAAAATATTTCAACAATTGTTCTCATATTCAAAGGGAACTTCTACATTTACATTACTAAATAAACGGATAAATCTATCGTTTCTCTTCTTATATCGATATCGTTTTATATCTTATCTACGATTTTTTCCGTTCTATCTGATACATGGAATGGAAAGGACGAAGGCGACGCTGGAATCATCTATGATTTATGATCAATATAACATGAGAACAACAAATTCTAAAATAACCATGTACATATTCTCTATTCGTCAACAAGCGTTACAGATTTTTCCTAATCTATCAAAAATTATTGGAATAATCTAATATATGAACAGTATAAATACAGTAGAGAACTATTCTTTTCAGTTTTCCTTATTCTTTTGGAACTTTCTATACAATTTTTTATTACCAGTAATTAAAGTCTGCTCAAATATAGTAAGTCCTTTCATCCATCAAACAACACTAAAGATAGAAGTTTCTGGTTTTTAGATTAATACAATGAAATACTTATTCGTTTATATTCGTTCTTTTGGTATTCATGTTAATGACGGTTTTGAAAACTGGTGCTGATCCTTTAGCTTGTGTAGCCTGTTGCACAGTTTTTTGTGCATCGACTGCTGCAGTTCCTCTGTTGGGATTTCTTGGAGTTGCAGGATGTGAAATAGCATGTGTGGGTACAGCTGGTTTTGCACCACCATGCTCAGTTTGTGGAGTAGCTTTCCTTTCTCCTTCACTATAATTAAGAACTAAAGATAATTTATGTTGTTCTCCTCGCTCTTCTTTTTTTTCGTCGACTTGATTTTCTTATTATTCACTATTTTTGATAAGGTTATAAGCAGTTTTTGCTTTACTTCTATAATGCATCGAAGATATGAATCAGTTTAATCAAAATAATAAAGAATTAAAAGCTGTTGAATCACTTTTCTTATTGATAACAAATGTAATTATTATATTTGTAAAAAGTTCATTTACGACCTAATGAAATATGTAAAATAACTATATCACATGTTATAATTCATAGTGACGTCATTTGTATTACGATGCAAAAACTTTGGTTGTTTTCTTTTTCGTTCTGTGGAATGTAGTTTGACGCTGCCTCATATTTTTGTAATTACATCACATCAAAACAAATTCAATATAAATCGATGCCGCAAACTATAACATATTGTGGTCCGAAGATATACGGTTATCAATATAAGCTCTTGAAACCCCCCGTATGTCACTCCAAGACTACATTTTTTTCTTGCATGTTCTTCGTATCTCCATATGAATAGTATCGGAATTACTCACAATTGATTCACTTTTGTATACAATATTAAAAAGTAAATTGATTAGCATCTAGAGAGTGTAATACGCCATGAATAGTATAGTTTTACATCGTCCTCAACATCTTTAAGAATCTCATCCGTTGAATGTTCATTTTATGTTGAGAAATATAAGTTTCGAACTCTTCGCATCGGCGAATGGTAAATCAACAGTATAGAAAAACATATAGTGTCCCTGACATAATACTAGACGAGATATAGCTCGATATTTACTCAACTTAGACGATAAATTATTCTTGATTTCGATTGAGTATATCTATTCATTTTTGAAATCTACACAAAAGCAAAAGTAAAATGCGACGATATAGCGAAAAACTGAGAAGAATTTTAAATAGTTATATAATATTAATTTAAATAAGTTGAAAACGGCACTTATGATAAAAGCAAGGATAATTAATTTATATCTTTTAAAGTACTTCTGTTCTTTTTGTTCAAAGAAAAAAGTTACACTTTAATTATTGGCAAGGGTACAGTATTTCTTCTTTTCCATTTTCGAATAAATAATGTCGTATATTTAACTAGAAATGGTATGGTTAATCTAAATGCTTTTGTTAAGCCACTAGTCAGTCCAAATAATGTAGTTACAATATAAACAGCATTATTCTTTGCTTGACGTGTATATGTACACTCTGTTGGCATACAAACATTATAATACTTTTCATACTTCGACCATCAACTGACCAATAATTCCTTCAAATGTTGTATTCGATAGAAAGCGACTTGTTACTGAACTATCAAGAGATGTTATATTTCTTTGTTCAGGTGATACGAACCATGATTTTAGCTCATCTATACATGCTTGATTATAGAAGCATCGAAGATCAGATTGAAGTAATGATTCAGTTGTGTAACATGCACTATAGAAACCTGGTATAACGAATAATGTAGTCTCAGTTGCATAAGCACGAATATACGATAAAAAATTACAGCTTGCTGAAAACCCACAGTTACATCCTCCGTATGTTCGCGGAAAGATCGGAGTATAATCCTCATGTCGATAAGTCATAAAAGCATAATTAGTCAAAGGACCAGTGAATATTGCATTACTTTGAGTGGTATTTCGTATTGTAGTTAATGAAAATAAAAAAATCATTTGTTGTTGATGATATAAATTGACTTGCTAATGATTTAGCTTGTGACATAAATACTTCGGATGATATTACAAATGCACTGATAAATTGATTCGAATAGAATTGATTCAGACGATTGGCAATTGTTTGATTGATTAATCCGCAGAATGCATTTAAAGCTTGAAACATATATGGAATTGTCCATCGAAAATCAAAGCTGGAAATATTACCGAGTTGGTAACTTGTAGTAAGATAAGTGATCCAATCTTCACTAACCAGAAAACTATCACATACTTGATGAAATGTATATTCAATCGAGAGAAATGTATCATAACTAAGTGATATTTATGTGCATGGACGTATTAATGTTTATGAATATGTTGAATATAATTCTTCATATGTTGATATAGTTGGTGTTTTAATATTAATTGTTTGTGAAATATTAATCAAAGAAGTACATAAAAGAAGAACAGTTAATAATACAACTAGGAGAATGATAAATATTCGTGTTGAGATCTTTTCATTTCTAAGTTGATGTTGATCAGTTGATGGAGGAATGGATGGAAATAAATTGAAATTTTGCATATATGACTTCATATTTCCGTAGACCTGAGAATATGACTGAGTATGTTTACCACTAAAATTGGACACTAGACTATGGATAAGCTGAAATTCAAATCAAACTAATGGCTCAATCTGTGTTGCTCTTGGTAGTGATCACATAGAATAACTAGATTGAAATGACAAATAAAACAAAAAAGTTAACTTACTCTTTTCTAGTGCAAAAAAAAATTATATTCAAAAGAAAAAATATATAAGTGTTCTTTTTTCTGTATAAAGAGAATTAATGATGCGAAACATATTGCTTTTCTTTCTTTGATAGTTACTTTTCATTTTACTGTTGAAAATGAAATATCTCAAAAGAGAGAATTGATGTGAGATTTCATCCATCGGTTGTAATGTGTTTAACAGAAAATACGTAATTTACGTAACGGGTGTCCCAGGTTAAATGAGCCTCTACGTATTTTTTCAATATCTTGCTCAAATTATGACGTATATAGTTGAACTTTTTTAAAAAATATAGCCCATGAAATTCTCTACAAAACTGTATGTATAGATCTGTTGAGTGATTAGTTGCAGAACTATATCTGGTCAACATTTCAATGCTGCAAAATAGTGCATTTTTTGTAGGCGTTTGTTTCAAAAATTAATTCTTTTATTTCTTCTTCAAAAAACAAATTTNAGGGCTTTTCATGGGCTACAATACGGCATATTTAGTTTGTCTATATAACGACGAAAGAACATCACAAAATCGGTAATATAAAAACGGACGCCTACAAAAATGCACTATTTTGCAGCATTGAAATGTTGACCAGATATAGTTCTGCAACTAATCACTCAACAGATCTATACATACAGTTTTGTAGAGAATTTCATGGGCTATATTTTTAAAAAAAAGTTCAACTATATACGTCATAATTTGAGCAAGATATTGAAAAAATACGTAGAGGCTCATTTAACCTGGGACACCCGTTATTAACAAACTATATAAGCTGAACTTGATAAACAGTCTATAATGTAAACGTTAGATATAAAAAGCTAAGAATCAAGTTTATTTACTAATATAAAAATTAATGATTAACACTTTTTAGCAATCTACTAGAAAAAAAGTGCATCTATTAGAGAACAATATTGTTGTGAGGAAAAGTTTTTTCATCTGCCAACAATTAATATGAGTGTTTCACGCTCTATAAGCAAGATGATTATAAAATGGTAAATAAGATTTTTTCATTAAATAAAGTTTATTTTGATGCCTGGCAATGGTTTTTAAATGACATTTGTTCTCCTTCTCTGTTTTTTTAAACATGTAAGATCGCGATCACCATTCGGTCAATGCTTACAACAAAAATCTCTTACTTTCATTTGATACTGTTTTTGATCAAGCAAACAAACAAACAAATTATTATTTTGTATCGGAAACGGATGTATCAACAGTAGTGAAAAAAAACTTGTCAAATAGTTTTATTCATATCATATCGATATAAGTTGCATACTGAAAAAGAAAAGTGCTCTTCTTATGTTAAAATAAATAGTTGATACAAAATTCAGTATACGTTAGAATTCTCCGTCACTGCAATCAGCAAAAATATATTTTAATTCTTCTCTTTCATTTTGAAATGGTTAAAACTAACGATCGATAAGATATTGATTTGTCCTATAAAGTAAATGGAACAAAAGAAACTTCCGAAAATTGCTAGTTTTTTAGTAAACCGAATACATGGAAAGAAGTATGGAAACGATGCTCATTTATTTCTATTTAAAAGTAAAAGTTTACAACCTAAAACAATAAGTTAATAAGATCTACCACTGTATGTCAAAATAGTGAACTCATCTGAAACGATCATATTTGTTTGGATTTTTGGTTTTCAATGTATGAAATATTCATGTTCGAGAGATAAGTTTGCAAGTAAAAAATATATGTAGAATGATATGTCAATTATGATATTTATTAATGTGAGACAAAAAGAACTCTTGGCATTGCTGATAAGAAAACATATAGTTACATTATGAAATCTTTTTCTATTCTTATCATTTGTATAAATAGTACAATGAGTAATTAATTCTTTCATTGATATGACGTCATTCAATGACTGATAACATTTGTCGTATTAAATGTTTTAAAATTATCTCATATTCATTCGAAAAAGAAGTGTTTAGATAATGAAACGATCTTCTAAGGATATCCATTATTATGAAGCATTTTCAATGGCACCGCCATCATTTATTACGAATCTAACAACAGTACAACCAGCTTCTGAGTTTCATGCTAAATCAAGCGATGATAAAGATGAGAATTTGTATCAGTCAACATCAGATGATGCTCCATCATCTGAAATACTTACTAATGTCAATGTTCATCGGATATTTGATTTATTTACATTAATTTGGTATGATTCACTCGTTAATGAGAATAAAGAAGAAGTTGAACAAGTACAAGATAAATTACGTGAATTTATATCTTATCTAATGAAATTCACTAATATTGATCAATGTAATCAATATATTCAAGAAAATACAAATGAAAAAGTGTTGTCGTAATGTTTCTTAATTGAATTTATCTTTTTATTTATTTGAATAGATCATTTTAATCCTTTCAAATCCATCCAACAGTGAACTTCTCTTACGAATTCATCAATATGAACATTTACAAGCGATTTATATATACTCTAATAATCAAACTAAAGTGGAAGAATGGTCGCTGAAGTACAACAAAGTAAATCGATCGATTCTATTGAGATTTGATGAATAATGGACCTTTGAATTTTTAGATAATTGCTGTTGTTACAACTTATATGGATTTGATTTCAATTATTAAGAAAGATCAACCAATAAGAAAAAGAATCGAACAGCAATCAATTTCAACGAATTTCTATAAAAAAGATCAGTTCTTTAATGATGAACATACTCATATCAATCTTTCAATTGAAAATAGTCAATTTGTTTGGACACAGATTTATGTAGAAATTCTTCTTCGAATAGATCCAAGTGATTTAGTTCGATCATTTCATGAAACGAATGACTTATGCCGACAATATTATCAAGACAATCCAACACAACTCCAAGAAATCAATGAGTTTAAATCCAGTTATACACGTAAACAAGCTATAAAATGTTATACTCAATGGACATTTCTCTATGAACCATTGAATAAAGCACTTCGTCAAAATGATCTAAGTACATTGTTTATTTATCGGTTTTTTCTTTACGATCTCAATAAAAATTTGGAACGATTACAAAGAAATTTGAATGAATCTATTATTCATGTTTATCGTGGTCAAATATTACGTGATGATGAATTAGAAATGATGAAAAAATATCAAGGTTATATCATATCGATTAACAGTATTTTCTCGACAAGTCGAGATCGTGATGTTGCTATGATGTTTGCTCAATCAAGTATGAGTAATAGAGATCATCGATATCAACCGGTTATATTTGAAATCGAAGCAAATACACGATTTGATTCAGATGAATCTCGTCCATTTGCTGATATATCTAATGACAGTCAATTTAAAGTAGAAGCAGAAGTTCTTTTCATGGCTGGATGTGTCTTTCGATTGGTTAATGTTCGATTCTGTGAAAAAGAACAGTGTTGGTTTATTCAACTTCAATTATGTAGCCAACATGATCATCAATTAAATGATTTCTTCAACTGGCTTCGAAATTCGATTTGTAGTCAATCTAATCTTGATTCTGTTTTCTATGTTCTACGTGATATGGGTCGTTTAAATGAAGCTGAACAATTATACCGGGAACAATTACGTTATACGAATTCGAATAATCAATTCTTTACATTGGTTCATCTAGGACAAATTGCTCATGCTAAACATGAACATAAACAAGCATTGCATTTGTATGACCAAGCAATGCAACATCTCGATAAACAGATCGAAACAAGTACTATTGGAGCATTGTACAATTTCATCGGTGAAGTTCATATAGAAAATGAAGATTTTTTATTGGCTTCATATACTTTTAAACAGGCATTAAAATATTTACGTCATTCAGTAGGAAATGATCATCTTGATACAGCCAGAACTTATGAAGATCTTGGAAAAGTTAATTATGCTCAACATAACTATGCTTTAGCTTTAAAGACTTTGAAAAAATGTTTAAATATTCGACAAAAATTTTTACCTGTTTTTCATCCAAATTTAGCAAAAACTCATTTTCTTCTTGGACAAACTTATGAACGACTTAATGAGTTCTCAATGGCAATGAATCATTATAAATCAACATTATCAATACAAGAAAAGCACTTATCACCTACTGATACCAACTATCTTCAAACGATACAAGCTATAAACGCTATCTCAAAGGTGAATATGTAATTGTTCCTATTATTCTTAACTATCACTATTATGAAAATCTTCTTTGAAATATCACTACCTAACTGACATTATATACCATGTATGAAAACACTTTCATTTATTATTAAAAAATTAAAAATAGTTTTTATTCTCCATTTTTTTTCGAGAAAGAGCTATCGGTTTGTTAAAAGAGGTTAAAGTTTATTTGTCCAAGTCAAATGATAAGAAAGTATGCAGGAAACACAACATTTTTGTTTACACTCAATATCATTTGACCCATCACTAACATGAAACTTTGTCAAATCAGAAAAATTATTTCATTTTTTTCTTCTATTTAATATTAAGAATGCACTCATGACTGAGATACGACCGATCAGTGAATATACATAAGAGTCAAAAAAGATGCAAAAGGACGGATGTACAAATACGTGTTAGTGTCATTGGTATAATTATTTCTTCATTAAAACAAAAAATTATCTGAGAATAATAAAATTAATAAATTCAAACCAACTATTTAAATCTATTATTAGACTTTTTATATTGATTATTTTGATCACAATTTTGAATAGCATGCCACGTTTTTATATATTTATTTAAGAAATCATAAGATGTGCATTTGTATATTATGTAGAAATAAAAGTGGGTATTTTGAATGAAGGTCGAATAAGACGCCCTCTATATTATTCTGTTTTGATTCGTTCGAATATGCCTTTCTATGGTGTGTTTTGTCATAGTATCTGTTTTTGTTTTCAACTTATCCGATTTTATTTCTTAACAGGTATAGGAGAAGGTAAGAGATATATCGTACGAGAGATTTATAATATAAAAAATAATGGCTACAAGATCAAGATTATACACACGTTTTCGCGCTCCACGTGCAGATCAAACTGACGAGAATGTAATCAGGAAAACTAATGTTGTTATTTTGGATATTAATTATAATCAATATATGACAAATGATTCACAATTTCAAGTTAAAGTTTTTACGAAAGACGAGATTGATGATCTATTGGATTATGCTACATCTGGAATCAAAGATGTATATTTATTTATGTCTAATATTAATAATAATATATTTATGTCAACGATCTATGAATGTTCACAAATAAAATCAATTTATATTTTATCTCATGATGAATTGCATCAAAATTCCTTATATGAAGACAAAAAAGTACGAGGTATTTTTAAAAATATAGATATGATGATACATCAATTTTATCAAGATATAACTACATTAAATGATTTATTCTATTCTGAACAGAGTACATTTCAGACTATAGATGAACAAAGTGCTCACGTTCTTTGGTGGAAATTTTTTGATAAATTTATTCAATACATTCAATACACGGATAATGATAAAAATGAGTTTATTGAATTTGCTAGGGGAATGTACTCAAATAATGAAATTGAATTAAAAAAGATAGAAGAATTCTCCACGGATTATACATCAGATAAGGCTATTCGTTGGTACACACGCGACAGTTTTCTTTATCGTTTGCTGAACCGGACACTTCGAACAGAGAATAACTTAAATGATATATTTAAACTTCGAATGTTCCTAAATGACCTCATGTCTGGATTAAAACGTTTACAATTAGATTTCTCTTACAATTTTTATTATCCTTTCACTGTGTATCGTGGTCAGTTAATGTCTGCAAGAGAAATGCAACAACTTGAATTGAATATTGGGAAATCGATTTTAATTAATCAATTTTGGTCGACAACTCTGAACTCATCCGTTGCAGCAATGTTTGCTTCATCTCAGCATGAAGATGTTTCTGTACAAGGTGTATTATTTGAAATTGAAATAGATTTATCTAATACTAAAAACGATCTGACACCAGTTGCAGATATCTCACATTCTAGTGAATTTCAAGAAGAAAATGAAGTCCTAATCTCGATACATTCAGCATTTCTAATTGAATCTGTGGAATCAAGTGATAGTTTTCGAGTAATTAAGTTAAAATTTATGGATGATATATGGGATATAGATTTTGATGAAAGAAGTATTTTCAGTGAACATGCAGATCAAATATTTATTCGACATTTATCAAAAGAAAATAAACAATTTATTGTATTTCAATTATTATTAGATATTATACTTAGATTAGATCAAACATCTTATGCAAAAAAAGATCTTTTGGATTTATCAAGATTAGAATATAAAGATGATCCTCAAGAAATGATAAAAATAGATGATTTTGAAAAGAATTATCAATCGGAAGATGCTCCTAAATGGTTTACAAAAGATAGTTTTTTATATCGTTTATTAAATAAATCACTTCGTATTGAAAGAATTAATCATATTGTTAAAATGAGATATTTTATTAATGATTTACATAATCAATTGGCTAAGTTGCAAGATGATTTTATTCAATCATTAAATGGATTAACGAATTTAATATTATATCGAGGTCAAACGATGAAAATAAATGAATTAAATGAAATAAAAGAAAATTTAAATGGTTTTATTTCAATGAATAGTTTTATGTCAACTACACAAGATATAGAAGTTGCAATTGCATTTTCTGGTGATGGATCATCTGAAATGAAACCTGATGAAATATCAGTAATATATGAAATGACAATTAATACAAATATTCGATCAACACCATATGCTAAAATAAAAAGTAAAATGAATGATGAAGAAGAAATATTATTTTCAATGGGATCTATTTTTCGTATTGGAGATGTTAAAGAATTACGTAATCGTGTCTATTGCGTGAAATTAACAATGGTTCATATAGAAGATCAATTATGGAATAAATTAACAGCACATTTAGATTAAATTGTATTACAAAGAATTTCTTAATAATATTTAATCTGCTTATAAGAATATTCTAAAAAATAAAATTCACGAGAACTCAGATGTTCAGAAAACGTACTTTCTTCGTTCACAAAATAATTGTGTCAAAAAAAGATTTTATTTCTATGATAGGAATGGAATAAGCCAAGATTTGGAGGGTAACGAGAGTCGAATTTTATAGAGACGATACTTGTTATGATGAAATTACGTCTTCGTTTGTTTTTTCTGCTTAAAGATCGCATCATTCATTCATACGGACAGCACATATTTATAAATACAATCAAAAGAAAAAGAATAGCTAAAGAGAACTTAACGTATATCGATCTATGTTGAAACTAATATGAAAGATTTTTTTCGTTGAAAATTGAAATTATCGATTGTAATGTGATACAGGGTCGGAAAGAATATTATTCCAGGGGGGTAACGATGTAATCCCGAATAGAAGACATGATGAATTTTATACCAAATGAAAGCCCGTGAAAAATGGGGTTTAGTGATGGTAAATACGAAGACTTCGGGAAACTTTCACACGTCAAATTCGGGAAAGTTCCGATTTTACATGCATGAAAGTTATGAGAAAACTAGTTTATCAAATGATGATCGAATGAAATGTATTACAAAATAGCTTTTCTTCGTAGTTTGATGAGTATGATCAGTAGTCTGTATGACGACCATTAGCTTTTTTTACAGCACGAAGTCGAGATGTATATGAATATAGAAGAGTTTCAAATAATTCAGTATCTTCTTCCCATGCTTGCTCGAACATTTGCGATGTGCATTTTGAGCGTTTCTTCAGAATATCGATAATGTCCACTTTCTGATGCCATTTGTTTTTCAACTTCATCTTTAGTTGTTGACCCGATATGTTCTGCCGCATTGAGATCAGGTCAATTTCCTGGCCAGATATCATTACCTCAAAATTTGACATCGTTGTCTTGGAGTAAATCTTGAGTCTTATTTGCTCGCATACACGGCGCTTTATCGTGAACAAATATGACTTCATCAGGATCAATAACATTTTCTTCATTTTTTAAAAAAGGGATCACATTTTGAATTAAAACAATATCACGAAAATATTCACCTGTCCAAGATTCCCCTTTATCTTTGATCACCCATAGTAACCTTTTGTAAGTGAACATTACAAAAACTCCAACACATGATTGATTTCGTACCATTTCACGATATGTTTCGTCTTCAGTAATGTCCTCGATATTTTTCGCCCAGATTCTATCATTTTGATAATTTGGTCGACGGACAGTCCAAATATAAAACTCATCAGATGGTGCCCGATGAAGAAAGTCTTCCGCAGTCCAATATTTTACCCAATCACAGAGCCATAATCGATCTGATATACGAGTTTCAGATTTTAACGGTTTTGGAATAACATGAAATGGTTTTAATCCTTCTCTGTGACGGTAATTATTAATTGTTCTTCCGGTGGCATATTCTTTTTCCTTTTCTGCAATCTCCTTCGCCACAACAGGGCCGCTTTTTCTTAATTGACCACTTGCTTGACGAATAATGTCTCGACTAGCTTCCGATAATTTAGGCTTAGCACCAACATTGGAATAATCAGCAAAGCATTGGTCATATGGTTTTTCCCACCACTCTGAGACAAATCGAGTTGGGCGATGAATTTTGTCCGCAATCCATTGTCTATTTATAAATGTTGCGCCAGCATCACGAGCTTCACGAAAAGCGATGCACTTAATTCTGTCAACCATTCTCTGTTGTTCGGTATCATAAGTACCAACCATTTCAAATAATAAAAATGCGATGATTTAACAAGAGAGTGAATTTTGTTATGATACTTAGGGCAATCCAAAAGTAGTGAGGGAGGTATGTTATTTTCTTAGGCAGAGACGTAAAGAAATTTCTTTTTTTACCAAAAGATAGCGCGTGTTTCACTCTATTTTTCTATGCTATTTGATCATTATTAAACTGTTATCATAATAGTAAAATTTCCATAAAATCTGTTTTTGTCACATACATGCTGGTAGCATGAACAAGAATGCTTGTGAGTATTTTCAAAATAACTTTTGATGGAAACATGATAGAGAACTACGGTTTTCACCATTGAAAAGAGGAGATGAAGACGCATCGAACTTCGAGTAATCNACTAATATTTTTGTACGGGATAGTTGGATTTGTTTTCGCTTTGTTGAAACACCTTATATATGATGATAAAGAGAGACAAGGTTCATAACGTTCAAGGATTACTTCCACCGCAGGTTCTCTCACATCGATCACTTTAACACGATGAGCATTTGGTAAATGCAATTGTGGATCATTATCTTCGAGCACATCACTTAAGTTTTGTAAATGCCGATAGACGTCATCGATTTGATTTCGGATTTGTTTAATTCTTTGACTATAAAAAAGTTAATTTTCGTCTAATTAATCGAAATCAATTTCCTCATCTCGAATAGTTTCCATCTTAAGTGCTTGAAATACACGATTCAGTTCTTCTTTAGCTCAATCTTTTTTCAATTGTGTATTTATTGTTCGAAGTTCAGAATTCTTTGCCTCTGGAGTTTCAACAAATACTTGTTTTGTGTCAAGACATGTTTTCATAAAGTCAGATAAAGTATTGAAGCATGTCTGACACACTTTATCACCAGCTTTCATTGTTACGGATGTCCATTCAGAATTAAGAATAATTTGAGTGTTCAACTATCTTGCCTCATGTTCATCGATTGTTCTTCGACCGACAGGATGCGATGGCTTCGAGCCAGATCGCGTTAGGCCAATATGAGACGGATGAGGACAACATTCTTTCTTTTGGTACAACATGTTGAGTAATATTGTAGAACTTAGTTTAACACGACAGCACGTTTTAGTGAGAATCACCAATAAAATGCCTCATCTATCCACAGATTAACTAGCGACATATGAATTATACATACTATAGATCTGTAAATTTTTTTGATCGCTAGCATCCATTAGGGTGTGAATGGCGGCACGATCAATGAATTGCATGGGTATTAAATGCAAAAGTAGCCTGAAACCTGTCTCAGACGATGTCTAAGTATGCTTTAACAGTCATAGATAATATATTCTTACGCATATGAATCTTTCATATCATATTCAGTTGAAAAAGGAAAAAATTTCAAAGCTATTTTAACATAAAACTCATGCATTTCCCCGCTTAATATAGTGTATAATCTTGTAACGCGTTTATCTCAGCCATTTCGACTTTAAAAAGGAAACCAAAATAGGGTTTTGTAGAGTCAAGTCTGGTCTACAAGATGTGCTGGGACTGGTCCTTCCAGAATGTAGCCATTTTTCACAGTACTAGTAAACTTTTTTACCAGTAAACTAGTAACCTAGTAGTAAAAATGAAGGTCGAAAATTTTTAACATCGTCTATCTTGTAGAGCTCGTCGAGCTGATCATTTTGATAAAAAAGGTTTTGAAAATTGGTCCATTCTAGACGGTGCTAGAGCCAAAATACTGAAAAAGCGGGTTAAAAAAATGACAAATGATTTTTCGCGATTTTTACCGTATTTTGACTATAAAATAGGTAAAAATTGACCTATAGGGAAAACTTTTTTTACAAAAATGTTCACCGTGAAAAGCTCTACAAAGTTAAATAGGAAAGAAAAAAATTCAAAACTTTTGTGTTTTTGTGGTTGACTACCCATGGAAGGACCCCCTATTTTCTGTTTATTATTTTCTTATTGATTCGTCTGATAGGTAAATTATTATGAACAATCTCTCGAAGGAAAAGATTGTTAGAAATTACTCTTTGGAACCGTATTTCCATTTCTATCACATAGACCATGTTGAAAATGACGATAGTTCGCATAATCGGGCTCGTCCGATTGGACCACAGGGGAGCTCATAGATACAACTCACAACGACGTTCTAATTTTCAAAATTCACCTCACTTGAAAACTACATCATTCGGATGACGTCAAAGACCAATTCGTCCAGCCGGCAACTTCGGTATTCAGAGTCCAACCACATCAGAGACTAACTGCATCGATGGATAGTGTAGGCATTCACACTTCGACTGAATTCAGATTCCCATCTTTCATATCGAAACAGAGACCAATGGGACTGGCAGGTAATATCTTTTTGCGTTCTTCATAGGGTTTAGGATCTCCAGCAATTATGCCAGATACATGACGACTAGGTTCGCATATTAATGCAGTCATGAAACCTGCGCCCCGTGACCACATCATCCGCGTAACAATTTGCAGATTCAATCGACGGAGGCTCTGTAGGACAGCCAGCTTCGCTATCTCAGATTGTTGGATAGATATCCTCGAATGTAGGACGGGTGAACGATCACTAGACAGGACCATTCGTTCCAGGTCTTTTTTCCCATACAAATCCCCCATAAAAACGTAGGTATTCCTCATATTACCGAGAGACATTTCAAGTACATGAAAAAATCAGAAGAGATTGCTTGGTGATATNTGAAGAGATTCGATAGTGATATACCAACATTTCGCGCAAACATCATGAAAAAAAACAGGAACTATGGATCTTTCGAACAATTACATCGGATCATTCACTTATAAAAGTAGTGGTCGAGGTCATGCTTCTGATTTATCAAATGATCCAAAGCTTAATTTTGTTGTTGCAACGAGTCAACAACGTCTGTTGAAAGGTATCAGTGGTATGGTATGGCAAGGAAAGTCGTCACAGGTTATCCTGTGGAAAAAGAGCAATGTCAACGACGAATTTAGAAAGGCAAAGACGAAAACAGTTGGAGTGATGATCCATGTGAAATCTGCATGCTATGGTAAACAGTACATGTGATGAAGATGAATATATATTATCCATCATTGCAATGAAAGATTGCTTTAATTCTAACAATATTCAAAGTATTTTCCCTTGCTTTAGCTGCCATCGAATAAATTTACTTTGAATAAGAGATTCAAGAAAAACTTCACATTTATGTGGAAATTCTCTAGATCAACATCCGTCAAGTCTATTCATAGACTTATCGAGTCCACGACCTCTCCCGTCGATAATAGTGCTGCATTACATTAAAGACAAATATACATTGATTGACAATAGGTAATTCAGTTCTCTGAAATGCTATTCTGGGAAAAGAATTAGTTATCTGCTTTTTACGCATTACCTGCTGAAAGAAAATGAAATGAATAATAATAATCTACTACATGACTGAATTGATGGTTCTTTTATTACAATATAAAACTCCGAATGAACAAGCTCTCATTGTTATATGGAGGCGATCTTCTTTTATAATTATTCAAACATTTCTATGAATGTGCATAATTAAAAGCCTTTGTGATATCCATTGATGATAATTTTGAATCTCTCATCTTTCATTAAGTTATCCTTTCTTGTACTTAATACTACTGACATGTCTTCAGCTAATCAAACACTTTCTTCGTTCAATCTGTCGTCTACTAAATCAATCATCGATGATTTAAATTTAGTACAACAAAGATTTGTGAACCAACTTCCTCTCATCATCACTGTTCTCGGTCTCATTGGATTTATTGGCAATCTCTTCACATTTCTTCAACCAAAACTTCGAAACAACTCATTCTGCATCTACACACTCACAGCTTCGTTCGCTGATATCATCAATCTATTCGTCAACCTTTTCCCGCAATATCTTGATCCAACGTCAGGAAATCTTCTTTCGAATATTTCGGATCGTTTCACATGTAAACTGAAACTCTTTCTTTTGGGATTCTTTCCGCAGTTACCCTTAGATTTGTTGATAATGTCTCTGATTGACCGGTATGCCTGTACCTTTGGTCCAACCTCTCGAATATCTCGACTACTACGGTTAAAAACGGTACCATGGATGATTTTCATCACTATCATCATTACTGGTATCATATCGTTGTTTTCTCCGCTGCTGTACGATGTCATTCCTGGTTATGGATGCACTTCGACGCATCCAACAATAAGTGCTGTAGGTTATATAACCATAAATGGAATAATAACTCCAATGATAATGTTAATACTTTTACTTCTCACTTATCGAAACTTTCTACGACGCCGACAACGAGTTGTGAGTACATCAGTTGATGTTGTTGATCCATTGTCATCTATGTGTTTATTGTAGAGTACAATAATAGTGATAAATCAAAATCGCTTTCGCAATCATTTCATCGCAATGGTATTCATTCAAGTGTTTGTTAGTAGTTTCTTCATTTTACTATGGATTGGAATGTATTCGTATTTCTTAGCAACACGAAACTATTCTAAGAGTGTGATAGAATGGGTATTGGATTATTTCATGTTGAGTTTGACTAATAATCTCTATTACTTGATTAATGTGAGATCATTCTATTTGTCAACATTAACATCGCGTTTGTTTCGAGAGACATTGGTGACAGGTGTTCTGAAAATGTTGCCTAGACATTTATATTAACTACGGAGGAGGAGAAATAACGGCGATACGGACACAATTGTCATGGCGTATGAGCGTCTTTTCTTCCTCTACATTAAAGGACCCCAACGAACAAAAACGGAAAAAATAATCATATTACGATGAATTCATTGTTCTAATGAGGTTATACAATCTCGAATCTATTATTTTAAAGTAAAAGTATCATGTTTAATATTCTAAATAAAGATGAGAACCAACTACAAAAAGAATTCTTCGTTCATTGGTCTACTATCACAGACACCACCTGAAAAAAGCTGATGTTTTCTTTATTCCGCTGAAAATCCGTCACGATTACGTGTGATTGCGGTGCAGATGTAAAAAAAACAAGACATAATTAACTAGAAAATGTTCAATTCTGGTTCTTTAAAATACTAACGATTGTCGGAGTTGAAGTGTAAATGGCATCGAACTTAATTGATCGTTTGTGGCAAATATTTCTTCAACTAAATCTTGTCAAAACACTCTCGAGTGCTGATGGAGCACTTTTGAAAGAACAGATTACAACCTGCCTCTACATTTGCTCATCGGGTCTCCTATAAATTTTAATTACAATCGTTACTGCATTCATGGTTTGAACCCAAACTTTCGCATATTAGATTTTTATAATCATTCAAACACTTTGATTTGTCCATGTTCAAAGTATGCCATCAGTTATCAGATATTTGTGTCAAGTCAATTCATCGAACAAGCTTGGTTTCATATGATACTTACACGTACCGAGATTTCGATGGAATCGACGGATGATTTACGTGTTATTTTAACTGTCTTTTGGCAAATTGTTGGAGACTTACGCAATACAAGTCGAAAAAGTTGGAACGATGCGGCGGTAAACCTCAATACGTCAAAGCTTCTTAGCTCGATTGCATTAGATGAAGAAGCCCTTTGAATTCAAGTTCAGACAACATTCAACAATTTCATTGATTCATCTCGAATAGCAATAATTCGTGATTTACTTGCTATTCGCCGAATCATCAATGCAAAGCAACTTTTATTTCTATTAACTTCCATAAGGATCTGTTCAAATAGCACCGCGAACTTTTGATGATTGCTCATGTATGAATAGCGAAAGTTGTCCACGTCGTGGCACACTTAAAGGTAGTAATGAGAAATCAATGAAAATAGCAGAAATGGTTATGGATTGTTTGACGATTAATGTGGCACTTGCTTCAACACTTGGATGTTATTATAATCAAACATGTCTTTCTTTGTTGCATTCATCGTCACCAATGAATATCCGACCATTGGCAAACGTCTCACTCAAATACTTCTCTACAAATTCAACAATACAAATAGTTTTGAATGAACTCATGAACAAAGAAATCATCAGTAATGTATGTTTTGATTTATATTACTCACAATGTACTTCTCAGTACTATTCGTATACATCACACACACACACATTGGTTGCATTTTTACTACGATTATTGGTATTTTTGGTAGTTCGTCATTTGTCATACGACTTGCTGTTCCTCTGATCGCAACAACTCTACTTCGGAGAAGAAATCCTGTATTGTCCCCAAGAACTGTGTGCCAGAAATTCAAACACCGCAACAGCATCAATGTAAGCCACATTGCATTGTCAAAACGATTGAATATACGCTTTAATACATTCTCTCGTAGCTTCTTTTATAGTTCGTCTTACCTGGATTCACTTTCAATGTGCACTACAGTACATTCAAGCAATGGTAATTACTTTGAATATTTTCGAAAGTTTAACACCGCGTACTCCTGTCAACATTCACCATGAACGATTATATATACAATACTTTTTATTATTCTTACCACTATAGCATCCATTCCTACAGGTCTTTATATTTTTCTTGTCGAACAAATCCAGTTAATAACAATAGAACATCCGTCTGTTACTGCTGATCAATAATGGTAGAATGATCATTCAGCAACGCTGCAATGCTCTTATTCACAAATACCAATACCATACAAAGACTTTCCCAATGTGACATTCGTTTTACATCAAGTATGTTCGAGCGATCTGATTTCGTCGGAATGGCTAACATATTTGTCACTGCTCAATCTAGCATCGCTACCAAACACACATATTTCAACATAATAGTACTCGTGACTTTCGAACAATAGGTGTTCCTTATTTTCAACTCTTATCAACTTTCTATTTAATGGTTAAGATAAAAATTAACAATACACACCATGCATTCACTAAGATTCAATTCATTAATGACCGAGTTATTCCTCCATCGATTTGACGACGTCACAATATCTGATTTGATTCAGAAAATGTTTTCAGAAATAGCGATAAGTAATAATACTAATTTCGATTAATTTTATAATCAATTTACACGTGTATCATGTGCGTATTCAAAGATACAAACGTAAGTAAAGTTGGCACGATATTCGAGTTATTTTTGCTAATATTCATTTGAGTACCTGTGCTGGTGTTTTAAATGGTTGTGTTGGATACAGAATTAAATTCTCTATCGAATGGTGTGGTTTTCGATACGGGTCACCGACCAAAAACTGAAGTTTTTGACGAAACAATGGGTTTTCTGGTCTTTCAAAAATTTGTAATTCTTGCTAATATTCGTCTGAGAACTTGTGCTGAGTCTAAAAATGGTTGTGTTGAACTCAGAATTTCATTCTCTATCGAATGATGTAGTTTTAGACATGGGTTACCGGGACAAAAAAGTCATCACACCCACACACCCACACCCTCACCCACACCCACACTCAGACCCTCACCTGCGATGAAACCCTTCGAGACTTACATCATTCGATAGAGAATGAAATTCTGAGTTCAACACAACCATTTTTAGACTCAGCACAAGTTCTCAGACGAATATTAGCAAGAATTACAAATTTTTGAAAGACCAGAAAACCCATTGTTTCGTCAAAAACTTCAGTTTTTGGTCGGTGACCCGTATCGAAAACCACACCATTCGATAGAGAATTTAATTCTGTATCCAACACAACCATTTAAAACACCAGCACAGGTACTCAAATGAATATTAGCAAAAATAACTCGAATATCGTGCCAACTTTACTTACGTAGATACAACGGTGAGATCTTTCACCAGCTTTACTTCTTTTTATTGGTATAGGCGATGATCTGAACTCAGGCTTTCGATTACTTATATCATTATTTGGCAAAATTTTTATTTTTTGTAATAAATGGTAGAAAGAGCGTCATCGGCGGCGTGGTAAGTATGTTGAATAATCAAATTCGAATATGCGTACTTTTTCCTTTGTAGTTGCTTATCTCATGAATTTTCCCATCAGTATCTACCAATCGATGAAAACAATGAATCTATTGACAGCTCCTGGAGGATCCGTTCGTGAGCAGCAAATCTTAACTCGACTCTATCTAGATTTTTACTTAGCATCACCTGGTATCGTCATGTTCTACACAGTCATTGTCGAATGTAGTACCATTCAAACCTTTTCCGTATCTTCAGTGATGGATGATGCGAGTTGTTTACTACGAGTGAATGCATTTGACGAAACATACACAACCAATACGGTTCACATTATGTTAATGCGTAGTAATTTGATTTGAATTTGAAGTGATTCCCACAGTGGTGGTGCACGTGAACTTTCACTCTTTTGATAATTACATCAAGATCTTGAGTTTATCGACAAGGAATGTTGTGCACTGACGACACGCCGTTAAATCTGTCTGATACAAGATTAAAAACAAGCAAGCAGAGTTCGTTTACGGTAGATTAGCCATTGAATTTTCTCTTCTTGATCAAAACGAACCACGTTCGCTCGTTTGTCTGAGATCCTGGTTCTACCACTGATTCCAAAGTTCATCCATTGATTCGAGTTTGTAGAATCTGCCGTTTGCTGTTTTAGAAGCATTGGTTTCAGCTCCTAACAATCACAATAATAAAAGAAACTTCAAACTGTGGAATAGTCATTCTTCGTAAACTCTCTATGATTACTTTGTTCGACGACAATGGAAAGTGTTGATAACAGTATAGCCATTTTTCTTGCTTCAATTATGTTAACTAATGAAGTACAACCCTCGACACAATTTATCAACGAAATCAATCAGACTATATATAAACCGAGTTCAACAACAAATCCCAATCTGTTTTGCGCGAACATTAGACCTTATTTCATATGAATGCTCAAAGAAATTCTCTACAAGCACTATTTTCATCCAATTGGAATATACCCAAAGATGAAAGAAACGCTTCGTTTATTACTACGCCTATCATTCGCAACAACACACAGTATAATGCAAGCTGTTCTTGTTCGACACTTCGTACATGTGCTACGCCAGCAGAAATCATCGATAGCAATAGAACAACTATCGTCGAAAGTTTGGTGTCCGTTAGGTGTTCCCTAAATTCGTGTATTTATACACATCGTTATCAACTTGATACACTGGAATTTTTAACGACATTTCTGAGCGCGTTCGCTGGCTGCTCGTCTGACGTTCGATCAATAGTTCCCCATTTTATGCTACAGCTACAAAAGATTCGACGTCGTTTTTGTAACTGTTTGTAAAACAAGATTAGCGAATTCTGAAAGTTCAAGGTTTTCTCCGTTTTAGTAAATCTACATTACATACGACTAACTATAATAGCTACAGCTTTTTCTATGATGCTATAGTAGACCAGAATAATAAATGATCGTTCATGCCGAATAAAATAATTCGACCATAGCAGCTTCAAGCAGTTGTTGCGTGAAGTGTATTACCTGTGGTATTGACGTCTGAGTACCAAAATAATTGAATAACTGAATCTCGCTTCCCAATATAATCCGCTGATGAAAAAAAAAACAGTCATAACCTTTCTGACTTTAATGGTAGATTGAGGCATATATCCTATATGCAAAAATAGATTATTTATAATTAAATTTCTTAAGTAGATATAAAATCGAACCTGTCTTTATGAAGTCTTTTGGAGAGAGAAGTTTATCATGTCAGCGGCAGTGAATGCAACAATCGATTATCTTGAAAATCTCACCGATGATATCCGTTTTTCTTTCGGTTTATTCAATTTAATTATTGGTTTGGTCAGTAATTTATGTTTAATCACAATTTTAACAAATGTCAGAGTATTCAACAAGAATCCATCGAGTTTTTATCTAATTGTTGAATCTTATTCGAACATTGGCTTGTTAATAATCATTTGTACGTCGCGTTTGTCGATAAATATCTTAAATTATGATTTATCACGCTATTCGATCGCATGGTGTAAGACTCGGTATGGTCTTGCTCAATTTTTCGGTTTATTTTCACTATTCACAATTTGTTTCACAACTATTGATCAATATTTCTCCACAAATCATCGATTTTACATTCGACAACTCAGCACAATGAAATACGCGTACGTATTCATAGTCCTAACTTTGTGCTTATCATCGATTCATGGATTTCTTTTTGTGATTTATTCCGAAATTCGTCCATCTTTGTTTGGATGTTCAATATATGATGAAGTGCTGAAAAAATATCTATCGTATGTTTATTACCCATTGATAAGCAATGCATTGCCGTTGTTTATAACGATCACATTCAGTTTATTATCGTATCGCAATGTTCGTCGAATAATTCGAAAGCAAATTCCGTTAATTCGTCGTCAACTCGATCAGCAATTGACAGCAATGGTTTTAAGTCGCGTTATATCATTGATTCTCTTCGGTTTACCGTATATTATCGAAACGGTATATCAAATGAATGTTAAGATCAAGGAAAATAGTGTCAAATCCAAAATTGTATTGCTTGTTGGTGCCATATCTGATTCATTGTTGTATACAAACTTTTCAGTAAGGAATTGTTTTGATTTTCTTGGAACATTTTTTTTTCGTTTGTTGGCTTTAGATCAATTTCTATCTATTTTTAACCATTTCGGCGAGATTTCGTCATCAAGTTAAGCATTTCATTCGAAAAATTGCTTGCGTCAAACCGAAGAAATTCAAGAATAATCGAATATATCTACGTACAAATACAGTCAATGCATTGATTCTTGAATCAGTTTAAATGAAGCATGTGAATGTTCATTTCGGTACTAAATAAAAGACTAAAATCATCGTAAATAATTCTATCAAGACCATAAGATGATTAGGAAGCAACTAATTAATATTTATTTTCATGAAAGACATTATACACGATAGCCGTATAAAAAGATTAGTCATTTAATTAAGTGTTCTACTTATTTGAACTGCTTCGTGGAATATTCTACAAACACATTTTCGAGTTTAAGTAACAAAATCTCGATTTCAAATTATGTCAAATTGTCATTTCTGCAAAAAACTATCGATTAGTGTAGAAAGAGTAAATGTGAATAATCACATGTTGGTCAGTAGGCACTTTGTAAATAGAACAAACTTTCAAACAGAATTACATTCTTCGATACCGCTTATTGATTTTGTCTGATCGAAGATTGAAATTTTAATGCAGAAATTTTTATATTATATTGTTAGTGTGTTGTGATAATCGAGCATGTAAGGTGTTTGTTTAATTTCCGTTAGTTTGCACCATTGGCGGTTCATCTTAAAATATAGAATATATACTCGGCGTTATTTTTACATTGTACGCAAGTTCAAGTTCTACTTATCGACATATATATATATAGTTTTTGCAATTGTCTCTGGTCTTTTGGAACGATCGAGTCATCTGATCATGAACAGATAGGTAATATTTCTAGAAAAATTAACGAGACGAGATAAGATTCATGTTGAATCACGTGAGCAACAACACTAATTTTATGTTGCTGTCAGTAATAAAAGATCTCGTCTTACTGTTTACCTTACATATCATATACTTGGAACAAAATCTGATTGTCACATCATTTTTGAAATTTACTTTGTTACGTAGTACTCAGTCGAAACGATTTGCCATGCAATTGTTGAATGGATGTTCTAGTAATGAGGATGTCACGATACGCAATAGATCGAATAGGATTCTTCGTGTATAGTCGAGATGTTTCAACAAGAATATGTCTATTTCACATTATCTGTCCAAGGATATTAATAAAGGAACCAATCAGCATGATTGACATTTCAGATAAGATCAGGGAGGCATTATAAGCACGTTGACACGGATAAATAACGATGAAGTAAAAATAAAGACACTAGAAATGAAAAGAAGTATATTCTGTAAAGAACTAATGAAAAAATCTCCCTCCGAGATAATCGAAATCATATGTGTTTTGGCAAATAGAACATTGTTTCAATTTTCATTGTCCTTATAATAATGTACCTACAATCGTCTACTTTGCTTCTATATCGAGGTTGAAATCTCAAGGATTCTGTCACAAAATGTCATTGATTTTTGTATGCAACACATGCCTCTACTTCCATTGGTTATTCATACAGATAGTTTTACCCGGTAACAAAATTATCATGACTTAGTAGTCCTTCATACAGTTTATTGTTCCCAGAGAAAAAAGGGTTAACAATTTAAATCAATACAAAGATGTTCACACACAAGTGCAGTAGAACACATATAGAACTACAAGATAGAAAGAGAAATGAAAAAGAAAAAAGAAGATGAAATACAAATCTAGAAACTGGAAAGAATTACATCACATAATAGCTAGAATATG